ATTTTGTATATAAATTTCCTACATAAAGGTATTCATAAAATATTGTATCTCGTAATATATATATATATAGCGAAATGAGGACACATTCTTAAAATGAATATGTGAGATTCAATTCTAGCCATTAAATAGGTATCAAGATGTGTAACCAAGATTTAACTCTTTATTTAAATAATAATTCGTTATTTTTATTATTTAATTCTTTAGTTTTAATTATTTAATTATACTTTTGACCATTGACTGTTGACTTCCGACATTAACTATCAGCAAGACCCGTTGACCTTAGTATGCATTATGTATGAACTATGAAGTAAATATGCATTCAGCACTTTGCACATAATATGAACTAAACAAGCATTCGGTATTAATTTTCTATGCAATCCTTATGAACTAAATATGCACCAATAATATCAACTAAGTATGCACTGTCTATGAACTAAATATGCATTTTGTATGAACTAAATATGCATCATGGATGAACTATATATGCACATGTCTATATTTAATTTAAATATAATAAATATGCACAATAGATGAATTAATATGCATTTCGTAATAACAAAATATGTATCATCAATGAACTAACTTGCATCATGAATGAACTAAATATGCATCAATATCGATATGGCATAACTGTATCAGGTCGATTAGACTGAAGAGACGACTGAACCGAACTAAACTAGCCATCACGTCGAACGGAGGATGGAGATTCCTCAAGTCGAAGGAGACACTAAATGTGTAGAGAATACTAGCAGGTCGAATAGAGGTCCTCGGAAGGCCTGGTCGTAGCATACCTCGGAAGAGCATATGGTCGAGGAATCGACCAGATGAACAGGATGGCCCACCTCAAAGTAATCGGGGATGAGTGCAGGATTAGACCACCTAATGTGGAGGACTTAGGGGATAAAAAGGAATCATAGAGGAATTTAACCCCAACAGGGGCAAAACCATGTGGCACCACCCGATTGGTCCACGCCTCGTAACTGTCTCTGACAGCCCGGATGGCTCTGACAGCTCTGGAAACCGAGGTAGGTCATGCACTTGCTATCGGGGAGCTAACGCGCCCGACTTGGACCTTAAGGTATAATCTCCTTATATAAGGGAGTGAGGTATGCCTTGAAATACATTACATTCTTGATTGGTCGGAAAAAGTGTGTATTTTATATATTTATTAGCGTATTTTTATATGTTTAATTTTTATCGCACTTATGGGTTTTTCGACTTGTTTTTTCATTTAATGGATTTGAGTGTTATGATATTTTTGTGCATTATTTTCATACTATAGGGCTACTTTTATGGACGGCGAGATATTAAACGAAAGTTTCGGCCGACAGAATATGGAGGTGCTTCATACCCGGCCCAATATATGTAACATATTTTGGGCCCAAGATTGACATATTAATAAAAGACACAAAAAAATTGAGATAATTACCTACCGTACGGTGCCTTAAGTTTTTGCTTCCTAATGAGCGATAAAACATTTTTATTGGCCAATCTAACTTTTCCTATCCATTAAAACGAGATAATATTTATCTCAATTCCATCATTATCACCATTAAAAAATACATATGTTCCTCCCCCAACCCATTTGTTTCTGGCCGAGTCAAAGAAAATCAAACACGCCCATCGTCAACAGATCCGATGTCACAAGAGCTTCTCCGCCTTCGCCACGCACCACTGGCGGGAGGTTTGCATCCTTAGAGCATCTGAACCGTCGCCAACATCACCTTCGATTCAAGATCTACTCCATGTCCAACTCCTTCCTCCTTCTGTCGTGTCGCCCGCCGCTTTGAGGATCCAACATGTAACCGCCCTGAGATCAAATTTGTGGTTTGCTAATTTAGGGTTTAGCAAAATTTGGTTTTTTGTTTTGTGTGTGTGTGTGTATTTTTTTTATTTTTTTTTTNGAATTTATTTTTAATTTATGTTCAATTTTTCTTTGGTATTTGAAACAGACTTTGAAATATTGCCCATGACTGAAATTTTGATCGGATCTTGATTCTGGGTGAGTACAAGGCGAATATATTTGTGTTTTTGAAGGATTTTGAGAGTTAATTTGATGTTTATGATGATTTGATTACGTTTATTAAGTGCTTTATTTTTTTATTGCATTTATTTTTTCGTGATTTAGCAAAAACTAGATAATAAACTTGATTACGTTTATTAACTGGTTTTTTCATTCTTATTTTAGTTTATATTCATTTTTTTTTACACTCGATTTTTTTGTTTATTTATTTTTTCATGATTTAGTAAAATTAGATAATAAACTTAAGATAAATCAAAAGTTCCAAATTAGTTTTCAATAAATTTTTGATATCATGTAATAAACTTAAAATAAACTGAAAAATAATCTAAAAGAATTATTTAAGAAAACGATATGCATTTAAACCGCCTGGAATTGTTATCAAATGGATTTAAACTAGAAAAGAAACCGATATATAAAACTGGAATTATTTTCAAAGAAAGCAAGACATAAAACTGGAATTATTTTCAAATAAAGTTAATTGTGGAAAGCTTTGTTTCAAACTAGAAAAGAAACCGAGACATAAAACTGGAATTATTTTCAAAGAAAGCTAGACAGAAAACTGGAATTATTTTCAGATAAAGTTAATTGTGGAAAGGTTTGTTTCAAAGGCAAATATGTGTCTTTTCGCCTATAATTTTCTCTTTAGTACTGGGCCTTTTAAACTGAACAACTAGTGTACATCCCGTGCGATGCACGGAGGAGCTCATATTTTAAACTTTTTTTTAGACTTTATTTTAAATATAATTATTTATATTTTTCACAACTCGTCTATTATGAAATTAAAATAAATGCAAAAAATGAAAAATATATATTATTAAACACTTCTCTTTATACAATATTTTTTATTTAAGGAATATTATCAAATCTATATGATTGTTAACGTACAAAAATTAATGGAAATAATCCAGACTTTAAAGTAAAACTATTTTTTTTTATTATTTTACAAATAAAAATCATCCATTTTTTTTTATTTCAAATAAATTTGGCAAGTTTGTTAATGAGTTAAATCAAGTTATACAAATGATTAAATAGTTAAACTATTATATTAATTATATTTTAAGAAATTCGATTATATAAATGTGGGTAAAAAAATATTATGCTAATTAGTTTGTTAGGATTGTGATTATATGGAATTTAAGATAAAATGAAATGTAACCAAAAAATCTGTTCGTGGTCTTTTCCTTTAAATGTTTGAATTTAAAATTATATAACCAAATTTACATTATATCACATAAGAAAAAATAAATAATAATATTTATGAATATGTTTAAAAATTTAATTTTGAATTTCAAATAGAGTAGAAGACGGAATAATTCAAATTTGTTTTCAAAACGTTTTTAAAGTCTTTAATATTCTGGTAAGTATACCCGTAAGAATAATCTTACTATTTTAATTTCAAAAATTTTGGCAAGTTTGTTAATAAGATAAATTCGGTTAGACAAAAGATTAATTAGTTAAAATTTTATATTAATTATATTTTAAAAATTTCAGTTATATAATTGTAATTGTATTAATTAATTTGTTAAAATGTGATTATATGAAAGTTAAGACAAAATGAAATGTACCCAAAAAATCTGCTTAGGATCTTTTTCTTTAAATGTTTGAATTTAAAATTTTAATATCGAATTTCGATTATATCACATAATGAAAAAATAAATAATAAACGTTTATTAATATATTAAA